ACCCAGCTCAAGTAGAAACCAAAATAACCCTCAAAGCTTTCCTCTCTGAACTGGCCTGAACAAAAGAACACCTGAATACTAATATGTGCCCCAAGAAACAATATTATGGATGACAAACTCTTCTTATTCTTTCATAAACCAAAGGAAATCATGAAAATATACATAAAATTCAAGAAATTACAACCAATTCTTTTTAAAAGGAGAAAACCAGAAAGGTTTTTATCATGTTTGAGAAGCTTTTTTTCCTGAGTCTTGCCTCCTCCCTCTCTCTCCCTTTAAGACAGAAATATTTCTGTAAAGCATTAGAAAGAAATGAAAGAAGCCACACATAGCAGTTCAAGCTTTTATCTCTAGTCCCTTTAGTCCATGTTCTGAAATACTTCTTGCACACACGGAGTCTCCAGCAGTGGGAAATCAGGCTGCCTGATATAATAACCTCTGGTCTGATTCACTGCCATCCCTCCACAAATATTTAAGCAATAGAAACAGACAGTTTTGCAGACTTCCCACTTTATAATGCAGACTCCAGGAACATATTTTCAATAACAGAAAGCTCATGAATGAGGCAGTGGACCCCAGTCTCAGTCTGCAGAAGTACAGGGTGAACTTCTAATATTCATTGCTGATCATTCAATTCATACACAGATGACTACAAAACTAAAACACTGATCCTCAGCATGACAATGACTGTTTTACTACTAACCTCCACAAAAACCCAGTCCCTTCACCATTACGACAGAATCCCACTTGTAAATGCACAGAGCAATGTCAAACCCAAGAGATACAATTATAGACATCAAGAGGAAAATTATCCTCGATACCACTGACCTGGTTCTTCCTGTAGTCCTGCTGGGAATGTCTGAGAACTCTGTAACATAATCTTAACATGTATTTGTAAGGAGCATATCTCTGGTCACCTAGGTCTTCAAGTCTCAGCATTGACCCTTCGCCCTTGTCCTTGAAAGGAGCTTTGAGGATGCCAAATATCTGTACAGGATCAGAATCATTGAGAATGAAAAACAAACCCAAAGTTTTGCTTAACTTACAAGAGTCAATGGCAATGTCCTCTGACAGAATCAACACAACAGCCCTGACTAAATACAAGTGGGGGCACAATCTGAGACATTACAGCCTTACACATTTCCATTTACCTCTACATTTCCCACCAACGTGACTGACACTGCTTTCTCTCTACTGCTCTCTCCATTTTAAAATATTTTTAGTTAAGTGCCAAGGACAAAACAGGAGGACAATATTGGCTGCTGTCTAATTCCATCCTTTTCCCCCTTTTTTTTTCTTCTATTTATTTCAATAGACTACTTATAGAGAAGATTAATTTTTATTTACTTGCAAGTTTGCCCTCATACAAACAAAGAGCTCCATAAGGGCATTAGAATTTTCCTTTATGGGGACCATTTGCAGGATTGAGACTGTGTTGCATGCTTGTTTCAAATTTTGTGAACAATATGTTGCCTTAAAAGTCATCAGAATCACATGAAACTAACAGCCATCAGACACAGCCCCTCATGCTCCACTCTGATTCAGGGACCAGAGCCTTGACTGAGTAGTATATCTATCCCATCCAACCAGACACAGACACAACATGGCATAAGCCAAGTTACCCCAAAATAATTTGGTCTCAAATCACTCTCTCCTACAATCTGTTTGTAAATACATTCAAGTTATTAACACAGTAGGACATACCTGAGCCAATATATTTTGTTCCCTCATTAATTTTTGTCGTTCTCGGTTTGGCTTGGTAACGATCACATCCAAAACTTCTTGCCCATTATTAGGCACATCAGCAACAAAGAAAATGAGATCCTCCAGTAACTTGGTTACAAACCTAGGATGAATACAGATCATTATTGTATACAGTCATTCAACACTGGGTAGGATTCATTAAGATTCATTTACCTGGTGCAATGCAACTTCCATCGCTGCAAAGTTAAGTTTGGCATATACATAAGAATTCCAAGCCTTGGTT